CTCTTCATTGTTAGTATTTAATTGTAGTCTTTGACTCCCTTATGTATGTAATTCATGGTCATTGAACTTTTTCTACTTTTCTCTTTTCCCTTCTCCTTTCTTGCTTTTAAGTTGCATTTTTTCTACCTTGTCAGCACATTTACATAGTCTTCCATTAGAATTTCCCCATCTTTGTTTTAAAGTTGGATCTACAGTTAAATATATAAAATGTTCATCATCAGTCCTTTGGTTAAAGTTTTCCCAGTCATCTCTGTTGGTTAAAGCTCATTGTCTAGTAAACTGCTCAAGAAAGTTTCAAATATTCCTTGAATTCTTTTATGTTTAAAACTCTTTTGCTATAGCCTTGATACTTGACGGACAGCTGGACTGGATTCATGGCTCACCTTTTGTTTTCCTGAGATTCTTGACAAATACTGCTTCATTTAACCTTGATCTTTATGTTATTTTTGAGAAGTGTGGTGCCAGTTTATCTTATAAAAGATAAAGACAGTAGTAGTAGTTTAGTTAATATATGAGGAACATTCTTCCATGTAACCATTTTCTTTCCTACAGTGTTATTCTTAATGGCTGCAGTTATACTCCACATCCTTTGTAATTCTTCTTAATCTTTTTGGGGAATTATTTAGAAGAGAGGTTGGCAAATTTTTCTCTGTAAAAAGCCAGACAGTGAATATTTTGGACTTTACTGAACATACAGTCTCTGTTGCAGTTACTGAATTGTACCCTTGTGGGTTTAAGCAGCCATAGATGATATGTAAATAAATGGGCTTTGGCTCAAGAATCCTCTAATTTCCCAGTCTAGGCCTTCATTGTTACCTAAACAAAGCTGTTAACTGCCTTCTTAGAACCCTTCTTAAGATTGTTTTTGCATAAAAGAATCATGTTTTCTGGGTTGCATAAATGGTGTAAGAAACACTTTTTCTTAGCAAACAACACAGATAAAAAAAAAAAAAAAGGCGACCCAGCTCCTAAAGGAAAAGTTGTAAAGTTTTTCAAAAGATGAGATAAAGTCTTTAGCAATAAATAGTATATTCATTGCTTTCATAAGGTATATGGAAGTCTTAATTTACCTTTATGGGTAATACAAAATGTTATTAGCAACATCTAGAATTACAGTGAATTGGTGGTTGAAATGACCAATAAGGATATATATTCTTATATTCAGAATAAGAAGTATTTTTGATAGATATATATATAGATCAGAGTTCTTCATTTAGTTGTGTTTTATGAATAACATTTTGAACCTTTTTCAATACAGATAGCTAATTAGAAAAAGTGGTGAGGAATCAGTATACTTCATTATGGAATAGTAAATTACTGAGAGTAAAATTCCAATTACTTAGATGAAAGAGCTTTCCAAGATAGTCTTTTTTTTTCCTGATGTCAGATTTTAAAGACTGAACTAAATCTAGGGCATTAATCACTTCCTTCAGTTTTCACTTGCCTAAGAAGATTAGGGCAATTAATACTGTTTAATTATACAGTCCTCTTACATTTATGGCAAAATGTACCAGATAACTCAAGGCTTTTTCTGCTTGAACGGTTTGTATCACAGTATTTGAGCAGTAATTTTGTTTTTTGTGTTTTATGTTTTTTCAGATTATGATATATTCCAAATATATAGATGCTCTTGGATTTTTCTTTTTGGTTTTAAAAGCATTTTTTTATATGGAAATAATTATTTATAGTTGATTTGTTTGATAGCAATATGCAGATATTTGATATTTCATACAGTGTCCAGGTCAAGAAGCAACTTTGCTTATACGGTTTTCTAAATTTCATTTTCCTAAAACACAATTTTAGTTAGTTTTAAGAAGAGATCTGGGTCTATAAATACAGGTATTCCCTTAACCCTTTCATAGGAAGGATAGCAATAAAGAAGTCTGTGAGGTACACCAGAAGAACATACTTAAGGTAACAAATTTATTTGATTATTCTATAATTTTAAAATCTCTTAGTGTTAAGTAGATAGAAATTGAAACTCTCCCAGAAAGGAATTTATTACTTTGTAAAATTGAAGATAGTTTGGAACTATGAAATAAGGAAGTTAAAAATTCTGGTGATGGGAGTGTCTGTTTCATATAGCCATTTTTGCTAATCTGTATTTGTTCTGTTTATGTAAGCAGACATAGTGTGCGTGACTCTATAAATTGTAGTTTTGTTGTAAATACTCAGCTTTCTAATAGAAAGTTAGTGTGAGCAGCCTCCATAGCTACATTGGCAATTACAAATGCACGTATATTACTTATGCAAATTGTTCTTATGAGTAAATTGCACTTTCTCCCCTCTGTTGCTACTAATGTGGAAACCAGGAAGAGGTTTATGAGAGAATTAAGCTCCAAAGCCCTAAGGAATCCATTAGATGTATAGATCATCTTCTCTCCTGTGAATCTGGAATGGTTCTAGCTTTATACCATCCTTGGGAGAATTGAGAAAATAGTCACTTAGTTTTTTAATATTTTTTCAAGACCTTAGTCAGAAAGAGTCTTAGAGGAATGGTTTATCAAAAGTGTAGGCACAATTATTAACCAGAAGAAAGCTGGCTTAAGCTGACAACAGAAGCATTCTTCCCTTTTTTCTAAAACTTCTGTCTAATATGGTTGTCAGTAGTTACATGTAGCAATTTACATTTAAATTAATTAAAATCAAATTTAATAACCAGTTCTTTAGTCACGCTAGCCATTTTCAGTGTTCAGTAGTCACATGGTCAGCGACTACATTTCCATCACCTCTGAGAGTTATATTGGACAGTACTGTTCTAAAAGGTTTTTGTCTAACTGCGTAAAAGATGATTTTTATATTTTGGATTACTCTTTTTTCATGGATTTTTCTCTTAAGTTCTAATGGAAAAATTACTGAGTCTAAGAGAGTAGACTTTTTGTGTCTTTTTATCACTATTTTTTTCAAATAGTACTAATTCTCATGAGCAATTTGCATTTATTGGATTTTTTTCAAACGGTAAAGTCACTATATTGTAGTTCTACCTCCTCCAATTCTAGATCAGTTGAAAAAAATTAACTGAGGTTGATGTAAACTGGATGGTTTGGGTAGGGACATAAACTTACTGAAATTGATTGATTTGGAGAATTTTTTGATTTGCATTTTTCTGTGTAACAGTTTGTAATTTTAAACCAGATTCCCAAAGGGGTTAGTTAGTAGCCCTTTTCGGTTAAGAACTACTGTTACAAGTTCTTACAGTGCAGAACAGAAAGGTGATAATTTGATGTTACAATCTTTTAATATTGTTTGTCACTACTGGTTCATCAAGAAATACATTAAAAAGTTTTAAAATAGTATATATGTTTTTTAAAAAGTTATTAGATGAATCTCTAATTATGTGTGGTGATGATTTCTTCTTTCATTCAGTACAAGCAGTATTGATAAAAACAGTATTGATGGTGGAAAGGGGTTGTTTCCTCTTAAATTCCTGAGTGCCTCTAACCACTGTCCTCATACTCTTTACAACTTGTGGTTGGCTAGTACTTAAAATATCTCAGAACTGCAGTGACCTTTTCAATAAACTGTAAAACAGCTATTAGAAAAGTGCTGAGACATCTCCTTTAAAAAATGGTCTTTTTGATAGCTTCCTGCAATACAGAACCGAAGTCATTCAAAGTCATTGATTTCTGTGGTCAACAGTGGCCCAGAAAAGCACCTAGTATTAGTAAATTGAGTGCCCAGAAAACTGCCTGATTAAAATCCCTGGAATTGAAGCTCTATTTATATAATCAACCCAGTGTATAGTCTGAACATCAGAAATAGAAGTATTTCTGCTCATTCAGTAAACAAATAGATTGTAAAAAAAATTGTTTGGCTCTTTGGAAGGCACAGAGAGAATACATTCCTATTCTTGAAGAGAAAGAAATAGTACTTAAGATCAGTAGAATAATTCTAAGTGTAGTACTTTGAATGCAGAGGAAGGAATGGGTTTTTGGAATGGAGAGGCTTCACTGAAGATGCTGATTGATATGAACCTTCAAGGGAGAAATAAAGAGTTTGAAAGCATACACTTTAGGTGAAGGGAAGGACCTATAAAAGGTATTTATAAAGGACAAAAGGAGCTGATGTGGGTAGAGCTGAATGGGGACAGATTTTAAAGACTTTGAATATATGTTAAAAGGTTTGGACTTAATTTGAATATATGTATAGGTGGAATGAGGATTGCTTTTGTACAGTTATATGTGTTTATTGTTTATTCAACAAAGTAATAAGAACCATTAGATCTTTGCTATCTAATATGGTAGCCACTTACCACATGTGGCTATTTGAATTTAATTAAAGGTAAATAAAATTAATTGCTTTAGTTGCACTTAACACATTTCAAGTTTTTGGTAGCCACATTTGGTGAGTAGACCTCTGTAGTGCTGCTGTAGAACCTTACTGTCAATGCAGAAAGTTCTGTTGGACAGTATGGCATTAGATGTTCATGTGAGGAGCAGTAGTGGGATTTGAAAGTTTAGAATGAGAACTTTTGTTTGAGTTACAGTTTTACAATACATGCTCTGTAAAATATAAGTTAAAAATATAAATTAAAAAATAGAATTAGTTTGAATTTACTGAGAAATGTCTTTATTAAATAACTCTAATATGAAGGTTCTCTCTTAATTTGCTTTCTTTCGGATTTTTGTGTTTGCATTTCTTGATGGTAGGGTACTTTCACATTGAGAGCTGAATATTAGTGTTAATCCAGGGACATGTTATATCCTGATCTTCTTAGCTGATTTCCTATTTAATGATTTTGATTAAATGTGCTTTTATGCCACTGTAGTGATGAGTTTTGAATTTCAATGAACCAGGGGTTTAAAACAAAATTAAAAGACTTTCTTACAGACTAACTGCTTTTCTACGTAATTGATTATTCTAGGATTCACTGGTATTTCTTCTAAATTGAACAAAACATCAGAATGAAGAAAACAAGGCTTCACAAAGTTGAGGAATAAAATGACAGAATCAGTAGAAGACAGGACTCATTTATTAATTTATATGTGTTTCTTTACAAGGACTACAACTCCAGGAGAAACGAAACTTCTAGCTTCTGAAATCTATGACATTCTTCAGTCTTCCAGTATGGCAGATGGCGATAGTTTCAATGAAATGAATTCACGTAGAAGGAAAGCTCAGTTTTTTCTGGGAACTACAAACAAACGTGCCAAAACAGTGGTTTTACATATAGATGGTCTTGATGATACGGTAAGACAAACACCTGGTTTATAAAATGAGGAAGAGAAATAACAGTAACTACAGTAGTCCTCCTTATGCATGGTGTCACTCTTCATGGTTTCAGTTCCCTGCAGTCAGCCACTGTCTGAAAGCAGATGATTCTCTTTCTGATATACTGTCAGAAGGTCAGTAATAGCCTGTTGCTATGTCACAATACCTACGTCATTTATCTCACTTAATCTAATCATGTAGACATTTTACCATCTCATATCATTGAAGAAGAGGAAGGAGGGTATAGTACAATAAGATATTTTGAGAAAGACAATATTGACATAGCTTTTATTACAGTATAATTGTTCTGTTTTATTATTGTTAAGCTCTTACTGTGCCTATTTATAAATTAAACTTATCATAGATATGTGTGTATAAGAAAAAACAGTATATGCAGAGTTCATCTGTGGTTTCAGGCATCCATTGGAGGTCTTGCACTATATCGTCTGTGGATAAGGGGGGACTACCATAAATAGTTTCTTCAGTGTTACCTGCTAATAGTTTTTAAGAATAAGTCCCAATATCTGTATTTTATACTGATGAAGAGCATCAATCAGAGGACATGCCAATTACAATTATTTATGCTCTAATACAACCTCAAAATATATAGAGCAAAAACTGACAGATGCAAGAATAAATAGAGGAATCCACTGTTAGAGATTTCAACACCATTCTCAATAGAACAAGTATACAGAAAATCAGTAAGGGATTAGAAAACACTAACAATGAAGTTAATCTAATTGGTATTTATAAGATACCTTATCCAACAACATAATATTCATTCTTTTCATGTACCAAATACATTTACCAAAATAGACTGTATTATAGGCCATAAAACAAGTCTTAATAAATTTAAAAGAATTAGAGCCATGCAAAGCATGTTTTTTGAGCATAATGAAAAGCATATTAAAAATCAGCAACAGAAAGATAGTTGGGAAATTTCCCAAATATTTTGTAAACTAAATAATACATTTCTAAAATACTCATGTGTCAATGAAGAAACAAAAGAGAAATCAGAAGACATTTTGAATTGAATTAAAATGAAAATATAGTATCAAAATTTGTGGGTAACAGCTAGAGCAGTGTTCAGAGGGAAATTCTTTAGTACTGAATGTCTAAATATATAAAAACGACAAAAGGGTTCAGTGGCTTAAGCTTCTACCTTAAGAAACTAGAAAAGCAAATTAAATCCAAAGTAAGCAGAAGAGGAGAAACAAGAAAGCAGGAATAAGTGAAATGAAAAATAATACATCAGTGAAATCAAAAGCTAATTGTTGACATGATTGAAAAATTGAAAAACTTAGAGCCTAAATGATCAACAATAAACGAGAAGTCACAAATTATCAATATCAGAAGTGAGAGCAAACATCACTACAGATCCTATAGACATTAAAACAAGAATAACTGAATGTAACTTCTTGCCATTACATTTGATAATGTAGATGAAACAGGAAAATTTCTTGAAAGACAAAGATTATGAAAGTTCATTCAAGAAGAAATAGATAACCTGAGTAGCTCTCAATCTATTAAAGAAATTGAATTTGTAATTAAAAACCTTCCCATAATGAAAACTTCTGGTCAAAATGGCTACACTGGTGAGTTCTACCAAATATTTATGGGAGAAATAATAGCAGTTGTACACAAACTTACGGAGTATTGTGTAGTTTCTTCTGAACTCATTCTACTTTGCTTTTAATGTCAGCTACTCCCACTTTCTTTTGATTGGTATGTATCTTCTATTTGTGTCTGTATTTTAAGTGGGTTTCTTATAGGCACCATATAGTTGCCACCTTGCCTTTTTAGCCAGTCTGAAATTTTCTGCCTTTTAACTGAGCGTTGGGGTCATTTACTTTTAATATGATTAGTGTATGGTGGATTTTAAACAACCATCTTGCTAATTGCTTGCTGTTTGTCCCATATGTTCTTTGTTTTCTTTTTATTCTGCTTTTTGGACTAACTGAATTTTTTTTATGATTCCATTTTATCTCCTTTGTTGGCTTGTTAGCGACAGTCCTTTCTTCCTTTTTTGTTGGTGGATTTAGGGTTTATTTTATATATTTTACCACAGTCCAGCTTCAGTTAGTATTGTTATCTCTTCATGTATAGTGTGAGGCACTTGTAACACTACGTCCATTTCCCTTATCTCTACTTTTGTGCTGTTACCATATGTTTAACTTCTGCATATATTATAAACCCAAAAGTATATTGTAATTACTTTAAGTAGCCTTTTTAGATTTTTTTCAGTTTCTTTTATTGTGGTAAAATACACATAGCATAAAATTTGCTGTCTTAACCATTTTTAAGTGCACAGTGCAGGGGTATTAAATATACTCATAATGTTGTACAACCATCATCACCTTAAATCTATGAATGTACAGCTTTTTGTCTTGTAAAACTGAAACTCTGTACTTAATAAACAGTAACTCCTCTTTCTTCCTTACTCCAGCCCCTGGCAACCACTCTTCTACTTCCTGTCTTTATGATTTTTGAAAAAGTCAGTGTCTTTTAAAGACACTGAAAAATAAGAAAAAGTATTTTGTATCTACCTATGTAGTACCATTTCTGGGGCTCACCTTTGCATAAATGTAAATCTTCATCTGTTAAATTTTCCTTCTGCTTGAAGGACTTCTGTTAACATTTCTTAGAGTAGTATAGGTGTATTTGGAATAAATTCTTTTTTTTTTAGTTTAAATAGAATTCATATGAATCATGGTGCAACTTTAACATTGTCTAATTCCAAAACATTTTATCATCCTAAAAGGAAACCTCATACCCATTAGAATAATTTCCTTTAAGCACCTGGTAACCACTCATCTACTTTCTGTGCCCATGGATTTGCCTATTCTGGACATTTCATATAAATGAAATCATACCATATGTGACCTTTTATGTCTAGCTTTCACTTAGCATAATGTTTTCAAGGTTCATTCCTGTTGTAGCATGTATCAGTATGTCATTCCTCTTTATAATATTCCATTTTATGGATATACCACCTTTTGTTTATCTGTTAATCAGTTGATAGATATTTGGGTTATTTCTACTTTTTTGCTATCAGGAATAATTCTGTTACGAACATTTATGGAGAAGTTTTTGTGTGGATGTGTGTTCAATTCTCTTGGGTTTATTCCTAGGGGTAGAATTGCTGGGTGATACGGCAACTTTGTGTTTAGCTTTTTGAGCAACTGCCAAACTGTTCTCCACAGTGAGTGTACCATTTTATATTCCCATAAGCAATATATGAGGTAACTAGTTTCTCCATATCTCATCAGTATTTGTTGTTTCCTCTGTGTGTGTGAGTTTAATAGTCATCCTAGTGGGTATGAAGTGGTGAAGTGTTATCTTACTGTGATTTGGTTTGCATTTTCCTAATGACTAATGACATTGGGTATCATTTCATGTGCATATTGGCCATTTTTTAGTAGTTAATTTAGGGTTACTGTATGAATCTATCACAGATTATCTCTTTTGGAGAAATGTCCATTCTTTGCTCATTTTTAAATTGCTTATTATGTGTTTTCATTGTTGAGTTTTATTATTATGTATAGCATTGGTTGATTTTCATATAGTGAAACACCTTCCATTTGTAGGATAAATCCCAGTTGGTCATGGTATATAATCTTTTAAATACTCTGCTTGATTCAGTTTGCTGGGATTTTTTTGAGGTATTTTACATCTAAATTCATACAAAGTATTGATTTATAGTTTTTTTTCCTTGTGATGTCTTCTTCTGCTTTTGCTATCAGCATAATATTGGCTTCATAAAATGAGCTGGTAGGTGTCTAGATGAGTTTGTGAAGGATTGGTGTTAATTATTTAAATTTTATAGAACTTACTAGTGAAACCTTTGTCCTGGGCTTTTGTTTGTGGGAAATTTGTGATTAATTTAATTTCTTTATTTATTACAGACTATTCATATTTTCTTCTCTCTTTTTTTCTTGAGTCAGTGTCAGTAGTTTTATTTTCTAGGAGTTTGTCCATTTCATTGAGGTTATATAATGGCTTGGCATACACTTGCTCATAGTATTTGCTTTTCATCCTGTTGTCTCAATAAGGTTAGTCATAATGTCCCTTCTTTAATTTCTGATTAGTAATTTGAGTCTTATTTTTCTTGGTCGATCTAGCCTAAAGGTTTATCAATTTTGCCAATCTTTCTAAAGAACCAAATTTTGGTCTCATCAATTTTTTTCCCCTCCTTTTATTTCTTTTTTGCCCTGCTTGTATTTCCTTCCTTCTTGCTTTCGGTTTAGTTTATTCTTCTTTTTCTTGTTTTTCAGAATGGAGATTTAAGTTACTGATTTGAGATTTCCTGCTATTTAAATATAGTTATTATAGTTAGAAATTTTACTTTAAGGGCTGCTTTCTTTGCATCCTGTAGATTTGGTATGTAGTGTTTTCAGTTCATTCATCTCAAAGTATTTTCTAATTTTTCTTGTGATTTCTTTGACCCATTGGTTTTTTTAGGAATTCAGGAGTTTGTTGACCATATATTTCTGAATCTTATAAATTTCCTTCTGTTACTGATTTCCAGTTTCAGTTCATGGCATTAGATAATATTGTGTCAATTCTTTTAAATTTATTGAAACTTGTTTCATGGCTTAACATGATCTACCCTATAGAATGTTTCACATGCACTTGGGAATGTATATATTGTTGGTTGGAGTGTTCTGTAAGTGTCATGTTTGATTGGTTTATAGTGTTATTTACATCTTCATTTTCCTTGCTGAACTTTTGTCTAGCTGTTCTATCCATTTTGAGTCAGATATTGAAGTCTGACTCTTTCAGTTTTGTCTGTTTGGAGAAGTGATTATTCTTTTGAATGATATTTTTGATGGGTATGGAATTCTGTGTGACAAGTTTTTTTCTTATTGTACTTCAAGATACTGTTCCATTGTCCTCTCCTTTGTATTATTTCTATTCAGAATTTTATCAGTTTAATTTTTTTCTGCATGTAATGTGTCTCATTTTTCCCTTTCTGTCTGTATTTATTCTATCACTGCTTTTGATCAACTTATTTATAGTGTGCTGGATATAATTTTCATTGGTTTACTCAGCTTCTGGATCTCTGGGTTTATAAATTGCAGCAAATTTGTACTTTTTTCTGATTATGTCTTCAGATATTTTTTCTTCCCCCGTTTCCCTTTGGTCTTTCAGGGATTCCTGTTACACATATTGAACCATGTGAAGTTGTGACAGAGCTCACTGATACTCTTTTCATTGCATTGCCAATTTTTTTTTCTCTGTTTCATTTTGGATAGTTCCTATTGCTGTATTTCCTACAGTTTTCATTCTTCTGCAGGTGTTTAATTACCTGTTAATCTCATTTGGTGTATTTTTCACTGTATACATTGTTGTATTTTATCTCGAAGTTTGATTTGAGTCTTTTATATCTCCTTAACATGCTTAAACTTTTCTTTGTTTACTTGAATATATGGAAACATGGTTAGAATAACTGTTTAATGTCCTGTCTAGTAATTCAGTCATCAGTGTTATTTCTGAGTGTGTTTCTGTAGATTGATTTTTCTAATTATTGGTTATATTTTCTTCCTTTGCATACCTGGTAATTTTTGACTGAATGCCATACATTGCAAATTTTACATTGTTGGGTACAGCATATATTTTATGCAAGGCCTTAATATCCTTGAGCTTTGTTTTGGATCAAAGTTAAGTCACTTGTAAACAGTTGGATCCTTTTTAAGGCTTGCTTTTAGCTCTGCTAGGCAGGGCGATGGCACCCTTTAACCTAGGGATAATTTTGTTACATTATTAAAAGGCAGTACTCTTCTGAGTACACCCAATATGTATCAAAGTGTTTTCCATTCTGGCTGGTGGGAACATGAAGCATGTCCAGCCTGGTTCTTTACCTGGCCTCAGATGGTTTCCTCACATGCATGCACTGGTCATCATTCAGGTGATGACCTGAGAACTCACCTATAAATCTTTATGCATGCTTTCTCTGTTGTAGTTCTCTTCATGCTGCTCTGCCCTCTACTGTGCTCTGACCTGTAAATTGTAGTTGGCTTGACTTCTCTGAATTTTCAGCTGTGTCCTCAAATTAGGGAGAGTCTGGGTCTGTCTGAGTTCCCCCTTGCTGAGTTGTAGCCTGGAAACTTTTTAGGCAATATGTTAGTGCACTTGAGGGACGTATTTCATTTGTTTTTCTTCTCTCAGTGATGATTATTTTCCAATGTCTGGAAATATTGTTTTATTAATTTTGTTTTGTTTATATATTTAGTTGTTTAAACCTGGAGGGTAAATCTGGTCTCTGTTACTCCATCTTGACTGGAATTGGAAGTCTCCCTGAAGTTATCCGGAATGCTGATAAATTACATAACTTTATCTATTTAGGGGTGGCAACTGGTGACTTACAACTTACCTCTAACTCTGCCAGGTTGGTCACATCAGATTATCTGCAGCTTTTCCTAGTTGGGCTGTTGAGGTGCTTAGGCCTCAGGATTTAGGACTCAGTCAATGAAGGTGAGGGCAGGTTTTCATACAGATATTATCCATGACATTGCCAGATTAATAAACAGTCATCTTATTGACTCTGAGGCCACCACATCCTGTAAAGTTTCTAGAAAGCAAGTTCTGTTAAATGTAAATTGATTTAGTGAATAAAAATAATATAGTTCCTTTTAAGGTAGCACAACTTAAATAATAAAACCCAACAAAGCACACTCAAAAAATATAGATCAATATATTGTAAGAATGTGATTGTTAAAATCCAAAATAAAACATCAGCAAGTTGACTCCAGGACTACGGTAATGTTAGTAAACATTTTTTGGTGGCATAGCCTGGCACTTACTACACTGCAGGCACTATTTTAGGCACCAGAGATATAGCAGTGACCAAAATAAACAAAACATCTCATAAATCTTATGTTTGCCCTCATTAAGCTAATATAGTTGAATGAGGCAGACAATAAGGCCATTGTAGAAGTGGTAAGTAATACGGAGAAAAATAAAGGGGCTTCTAATAGGTGAGGCAGTTCAGAAAAACCTCCAGGAGAAACTGACATTTCAACAAAGATTTAGAAGGAGTGAGCCAGTGGGTATCTGTGGAAGAGTCCATTTCCCAAGAGAGGGAACCATAAGTGGTTAGGCTTGGGACATCAGCTAAGAATATACCTAAGAGTAATAAAAAGATATGTACCATCAGATATTGAAATGTACTATTAAAACTTCTGTAATTTTTTAAAACAATGTTGTCTTGACAAAAAAAATTGAAAGAAAAAGTCCTAAAGCGAACCCTAGTATATATTAGAACTTACCGGATGATAAAGGAAGCATCAGACAAGTGGGAAAGGACTAGCTTGTCCAAAAATTGGTGCCAGACATGGACAGTTTTGTGGGGCTGGGAAGGAAAGGGGAGAGGGAATCTTACCAGATACTAAAATTCAAAGTGTACTAAAAAGTCAAATGTAAAAAATTAAACTACGAAATTAAAGAAACATAAATGAATATTTACTGATCTCTTAAGGACTTTCTAAGACATAAAGGTGGTAGAAGAAATTACTTTAGGAAAGATCTCTGGTTTGACAATAAAGTTTTTGTTTTGTCAAATATATTCTTGTAGAAAAATATTTGTAATGAATGATTGACATCAGGTTAATGGTCTTAAAAAGTCAACAAAATAATATCTAATAGGAAGATAACCAAAGTGTCTGAAATTCCCTAAAGAGAGATAATTTCCAATAAGTATCAGCTAACATTTATTATAATACAGTTACCTTTCTGATATGTTAATACATTTCTTTCTCATAGCATTTATAATGTAGGTTTCTATAGCCCCAGTTTACAGATTAGGAGACTGAAACACACCAAATTTAAATAGCTTCCCAGGGTCACAGAATTACTAAGTCAAGGACATGGGATTTGAATCTAGGCAGTGTGTATCTAGCTTCAGACCCCTACTCTTAACCACTACTTTACACAGCTACACGTGGAAACATGTTTACTCTCATTAGTAATGAAAGCAATGGACATTATTTAGTGTAAGTATCAGGGCTTTCAGAAATTTATTCCTGATTTTGGATCCTCACAGGCATTTTCCCCTTTCCCTTATTTCCTCAACTGCAAGTCAGGAGTCTTTAGAAACTGGTGAGAGACTACTCTCTATATTCCTTCAGCTGATACTCTTTTAATACACATACCTACACTCTTTTCCTCCTGTCCATTGCCAGTCAGTTAACCTTGACTCATTTACCTCCTTGCCCAGTTCCTTGATTTCATCTGCTTATGATTCTCTCAATCTAATCTTTCAATTGAAGTATAGTTGACATACAATCCTTTATTGGTTTCAAGTATACAACACAATGGTTCAGTAGTTACCCATATTATTAAATCCTCAACCTGTACTAGTGTAGTTACTATCTGTCAACTTAGGAAGATGTTACAGAATCATTAACTATATTGTCCGTGCTGTACCACCTTCCCTGTGGCCAGCTTATATTATGAATGAGAATTTTTGTGCCCCTTTCTCCCTCTCGCCCTCCCCCACACACACTCCCAACTGCTCTCCCATTGTAATCACCAGTCACTTCTCAGTGTCTTCTGAGCCTACTGCTATTTCATTCATTTTGTTTTGTTTTTATATTCCACAAATAAGTGAAATCATGATATTTATCTTTTTCCACCTGGCGTATTTCACTTAGCATAATACCCTCTAGATCCATCCATGTTGTCACAAAATGGTGTCACATTTTTCTTTTTTATTTCCATGATGTCACAGATTTCTTTTTTATGGCTGAATAATATTCCATGGTGTATAGGTACCACATCTTCTTTATCTGTTCATCTATTGATGGACGCTTTGGTTACTTCCTTATCTTGGCTATTTTAGATAATGCAGCAATAAACAAAGGGAATTTTGTGTGTCTTTTTTGGATAAATTCCTGGAAGTACAATTACTTAAAATAGTGACTCCTAACACTGAATGCTCACTTATTCTAACCTCAGTCTATTAAAATTTATCCCAAGAGATTTTTAAGCTAGAGCAGGGGGTAACCAAAGCTTTTCTTTAAAGGACTAGGTAGTAAATATTTTAGGCTTTGCAGGCCATATGGTCTCTTTTATAACTATTAACTCTGCTATAGCATGAAACTAGCTCAGACAGTCTGTAAGCAAATGGGTGCAGCTGTATTCCCATAAAACTTAATTTACAAACACAGCTGGTAGATTATTGTTTGCCCATCGTTGAGCTTTATCTTTGCTTTTCAGTATTTTTTTCTGTATTATTCTTCCATTATATTTACTTTAAGATTTAAATTAACATTGGCTAACTTTTTTCTGATTAAGATTATTAAAATTAAGTATCAGTAATAGAGCTTGGAAAAAATGAAGCAGAATTATTCTTCTATTTGATCTTATAAAATTTAATAAACTCAATTAAACACCACTCTCTCCATGCCATCAAATATGAGATGGTAGAACTGAAATAGGGCTTTGGGCTCTCCCACCCCTCCCCCACCCAAATATAATGACTAGTTCAGTGTGATTTGAGTTCATTTGTCCCCTTTTGTTATTTTGCCAATGTTAATAACAGTCTGCTTTACCTTTTCAGTCTCGGAGAAATCTCTGTGAAGAGGCTCTGTTAAAAATTAAAGGTGTAATTAGCTTTACATTTCAAATGGCTGTTCAAAGATGTGTGGTGCGGATTCGTTCCGATTTGAAAGCAGAGGTTAGTACTTTAAATGGCTGACTATGTTGTTGAGGTCATAGGTAAACAAATCGGTGTTCAAAATTATTCCTTTTTATCCTGGTCTAGGCTTTGGCATCAGCAATAGCATCGACCAAGGTCATGAAAGCTCAGCAAGTTGTGAAAAGCGAAAGTGGAGAAGAGGTAAAAGCCTTAGTTTTCTTTGTGCCTAACTCTGACTCTTGATTATTCCTTATGACTAGCAGATTGCTAGTGTTTCTAGACTATTAGTTGTCAAATATATAGGAATCTGATTGGGTTAGAATATCTTAATATTTCTTGTTTTACAGTTAACTCTTGAAATGCAGAGAGATCTGTGGATTTCAGTCTGTTCTTTGTCTCAGTGGAGCCACCTTGCCGATTTTATATGGAAATAAAGGATATGTGGTTTCCTTGTACTAGTTTTTAAATACTTTCTTTCTAACCTTATTTAGTTTTGCCAATCCAAAATGTATTCAGTCCCATCATTGGGCAAGTAACTATAATGAGAATCTTTACCTCTTGGAACTCTTACCACTAGTTTGTGATAGGGAAGATGAATCTATATACCTTCAGCTCATTAGCTCATTTGTGTTCCCATAGAAGGGAGAGTCAGTGGAACTTCAGGAGCCCGCACTAGTGAGATACTTGGCTTTCATTGTCTTTAGATGGAGGTTGCACATTTATTCCTGGATCCTCAGGAGAAAAACGTCTGAGTTTTCATGTGTACTTCTGCCTTCCTGTGTTTATGCTGGGCTCAGCACTAGGGCCTCCCTTTGTATAAGAGGAAATTTTTAAGGAATATAGCCTCTGAGAGAATAAATATGGTGATGAAAATAAGGAGGAAAGCTGACCTTTAACTTTGGACATATATCTCTTGTCAATTTAGGTTGGTTTTGTAGTAACTTGTAACATGTTCTGTGTATCAGATGCTGGTCCCATTCCAGGACACACCTGTGGAAGTTGAACAGAACACAGAACTACCTGATTACCTGCCTGAGGATGAGAGTCCCACAAAGGAGCAGGACAAAGCAGTGTCCCGTGTTGGCTCACACCCAGAGGGTGGAGCTAGCTGGCTAAGCACAGCTGCAAACTTTTTATCCAGATCGTTTTACTGGTGACTTCAGTTTGGGTCCAAGGACTGTGTGCACCAGCAAGGGGCCAGTTTTCCATTGTGGTGTGAACTGTTGAGTGCAATTTGCAATAAGTTATCAAAAGGTTTAAGATTACATGATTGTGTATGCTGCATTTTACATTTTATTGGACATTTTACCCCGTGACAGAGGCTACAAGTGGAGTTGCTTTGTTTTGGTTTTGTTTTCTTTTGTTTAATTGCCTCACTTTGTAAAAAATGTGGGTCCGTTGTTAAACCAAATATATATATGTGCAGCTTTACATTTTATTTTACACAAAGCACATGATTAGGAAAACTTGTTTTCTCCTCAAGCCTCAGGACCTATCTGAAGAGAAGTTGTTTTTTTTTTAGTGCAAGTTGTGCATGAATTACTGAATATTTTCCTCTGCTTCTCTTCATGAAAGGTATTTGACTTTGGTACTCTTCAGTGAAAGTTGAAAACATTTCTCATCATCCCCCTTTTGTGCCTTTTTTTTTGCCAACCATGTTTATAGAAAGGACATTACTAATGACACTTTGTGAACTAAAATATATTCATTTGAATGTAGCAGTCCCCTAAAAATACAACTCTACAAAAACTTTTCAATCTTGTTTGTTATAATTTTAATAAGATGCACGCAAAGCCAGTCAAGAAGATGGAAGCATATATATCAGCTAAGTGCTATTGGAGACTATTTGAATGTGACCAGGTGTTTCCAATTGACTGCTGTTCAGTTTGGTTTGTATTAGCTCTTGAGAGTTACATCTACCATAATACTGGGAGCAACTGAAAATGGTCTGTAGGGCTTACTTTGTGATTATACACCATCCTCTGCTAGGAAAATAATAGAAGTGAAGAACTGACAACCTTGAAAAAAGAAAACAAAAATCGAATGCCTATAATGCCGTAGTGCCATTTGGTAGAGTCTAAAATTAAAACATGAAATGCTTGGCAGATGCCTTTTCGATAGGTGTTTCTTTGTATTGCCTTTTGTGAATTTATTATGAACATGTAGTTGTATTGAATGAAAAAAGACTCAAACTGTAGCTTATAAAAAAATAAAGCCAGCAGTGGTCTACTTAGTTTTGCTTCTCATGTCCAGCCAGAAAAAAAGAACTTCAGTGAAGGTAAGATAAATAAATGTAAATATATATACATATATATATTTTTTGGTAGATAAGAGCTAATTACATATATGTAATGCTTTATTAAATTTCTGAAATATTTGACAACTAATCATTTTGGAAATCCAACTAAATCCAGTTAAATTTTAATGCTAATATGACTAAAAATAATAGGAAGAAATTGAAATTCTTTTTCATCAGCATGTAGAGCTGCTATTTTACTACTTGGAGAATGTGAAGTGAAAATTGGACCTTGGAGGGTTTTCTTGCATTTTCATTGTTTCTCTTTTAGAGAAAATTAAAAGCATCCAGTGTCACTGGAGAAAAATTATTGTAAAATAATTCACCAGTGAGAATCTTGAGTTCACGAACATTGTGACTTTCTGGAGGGAGGAGTATTGAGGGTATGGAGAATGATATTTTACACGTGTCTGGGCTCAGATTTGTGACACGCACAATTGAAAAAACTAGCTTTCAGGCATGTATTGCTTTGAATGCATACTACCACTTGCTGCCAGAACCAGATGTGTTGGAAAAAGAAAGCAAAAGCACCTTTTTATAGCCATTAAAACAAAGTTTACTGTTCTGTTTTAACAAGTTTGTTTTTTTATTGTGCATTGCCGCACATCTGCTTATTTAGAAAACTATATCCCTTTGGTGGTAATGGATCAGTACAAGTAGGTATTACAGCTTGTCATTGTGTGTTCTAATGCTAAGTGTTCTTTTATTCCAGGTCTTATAGATCATTTAAGGCAACTGTAACAATATTTTTTGAAATATACTGTAAAATAATAAAAGGTAACATAATTTAAATTGAATGGATATTGCATTTTTGTTGTATCAGCATTATCGGTTACCCAGCTAATTCCCGTGCATCTCCATTTATGTCCTTCCCAGCACCACAACTGCCTATCCTGGGTTTGGATCTGCTGCCCTTATATGTGTGCTCATTGTAACATTCATTATATTAGATTGAAATTATGCTTTCCAATGTCTTTCACCTACTGTCCTCTTTGAGAACCAAGAGATTCTATAGCTGGACTTGACTAGCAGTAAGTGCTCAGAGGCTGAAGAAAAATTTTTAAGACAATAAACAAGGAGTTCTTTTTTTAGTTAGTAAAAAGTAAATGGAAGGCATGAACTAACTTGTTGGGCAAATAGGAAAACTGTCAGGTTATATTTTGGCAGGGGGTGGGGGAATGTTTGTTTCTAATTTATTGATTAATATTTAGCAAATTTCTTCATTTATTTTTGTTACTTGCTTTTTTTTTTTTAAGTGGGAGAGGGGCATAATACTTGTTCCATTGAATGAAATTAAATGTAACTGATAATATCCTGATTCTTATAGAATTGTTATGTGAGAATTATATATGTATACATATAGTAGACATTTTGATTTCCTATTTTATAATTTACTAGCTATATAATCTTAGTTAATTTTATCTCTAAGGTTTTCTTCATTAGTAAAATGGGGATAATTCCTCTATGAGGTCATATTTAGAATCCAGTGAGATCATCATGAGCAATTTGAAAACTAAAAACTCGCAAGTATAAGATGGAATTGTTATTGAAAGTTTGACACAATGCTCTTCTTGTCCTTGATTCTCAAGTGAAATGCTATACCTTTCTAATCACACTTTATCTGATTCCTCAGAGGGATTTTTATTTTTGAGGCTTAACACTCAGCTCTTTGATTTTTTTCCAAATGTCATCCCTTGATGAATGCATCTGCTGTCAGGATTTCAGTTACCTTTGTGCAGATAACTTCTAAATCTCCATTGTACACTCGTCCTTAGTTACTCCCCTTTCCTTCTCTGTACCTATTAAATATAAAGTCTGTGAAGTTTTACATCTTAAAACCCAGCAGCATGCAGTAAATTTAACAAAAACTAATTCTGTGCCAGCTACTAAGTTAAGTGCTTTACAAATATTTACTTATTTAACCCAGAGCAACTATGAAGTTGGTACTGGTATGTCTCCATTTTATAGATGTGGGGGAAATGAGACAAAAATAGGTAACTCATTGCTCAGCACTAGTAAGTGGCGAAGCTAGGATTCCAGTGCAGGCCATCTGGCTCTTGCGTCCAGTCTCACAGGCAGGCTGCCTCATAGGTCCCTTCTGGGTCTTTCCATGTATGCCACTACCATTCCAGTCCAGACCCTTTTGCCTGTGTCATGTCCAATGACTTAACTCCAGTGTCCATTAATAGCAATAAAAAACTGTTGTCTGGAGATCAGAAAAGTTAGGTATATGAAAGAAGTCTGGTTAGGCCACAACATAGGAAAAATGCATGGAGCCCACCCAGCCTGTCTGTAGAGGGAAACCACATTTTCATGTGAATTGTGGGCTTTTAATGCAGAACCTCTAAACTTTCTGGCTGTTCCAGACCCTTAAAACTACCTGAACCATGTAAAATGTCTGTGGATCAGAAACTGGCTACTTTTATTTCTAGAGTAGCCACATTCTAATCTTTCAGATTAATCTTAGCAATATTTTTGTCATTTTCTGCTGTAATGTCAACAGAGGCCTGTGTATTAGTTTGGGCTGTCTTTTCTAACACTAAAAATGCCAGAGAGTTTAACCCCCAGGGTCATCTTTCATACATTCTGTAGCATTATTGCAAACTCTATATGTGAGGCACAGTTGTATATCTCATTGTTACAAAAACAGTCTGCTTTGTTTAAGCTTGTCTATTTATTACAGCCTAAATAGTCCATATTCATCCTACCCTTAGATCTTTGCTCATATTCTTATCTAGTATTTCCTCCTTTACACTCTCATCTCCTTTCAAATATTTTGTTACAAAAAGAAGCTCAGTGTATTACAGAAATACATAAAGAAAACAGGTCACCTCTCATCCTACAGAATAGACAATATGAATAATTGAACATTTATTCTCATTTAATTTTTTTCAATTGGTAAGAAATAAACACTTAAAATTTTTAACATGTTCAAAATAGTGAGGAGTGGTCTCCCTTTAAACTTTAGTCACCTGTTGTTCCTCACCAGGGAAAACCATTGTTACTAATTTTGTGCACCCATCAGGGATATCCTATAAATGTACAAGCTTTTGCATATTTTTTCCCACATAAGTGGTAGTAACATGCCCTACCCCTTATCTTTTTCCCTTAAAGTGAATCTTAGAGTTTATGTCATTGTATAAAGCAGCTTCCTTCTTTCACAGTGTCATAATATTACATTATATTAACATTCCACCATTTATTTAACCAGTNGGCTGTCAGTGCTTTTAATTTTTTTTTTTTGCTATCATTAATCTACACTTACATGAGGAACATTATGTTTACTAGACTTCCCCGATCACCAATCAGTGATTTTAATTTTGATAGCTCCTGCCTCCTTACCAGTTTCCTCTATCGCCAGCAAGGTAAGGGAGTTACTATTTCCCTTCAGCCTCTCCAACTGTGTTACACCATAGTTAGCCCTTTGTAGTCTAAAAAAAAAATAAAGCGATCTTTTATGAATTAAAGTAGCTTTTTTTCTACATTTAAGAGCTCTTTGAGTTTGGTGACTTAGCTCCTTTTTTCCTTTTTTTGGCAGGGGTGGGAGTGGAGAGGGATTTGGTTTTTCTTACCTGATTATAGAAGTTCTTTAACATACTACAGAGATATGCCCATTTCTTTAATAAAAATGTATGGATTTGCAGCTCACACATAATACAACAGTATTTTCTGCTGCTATAATCATGATACCCCTGTGATCATTTTCTACCCCATGATTCCTTCTCCCCCTTAACTGCTATAGTGCTTTTCATTTGGGTCCTATCATTTATGGTTCATTACTTTCCACAAGTATGTTTCTTTTTATTAAGGACATGATCCATAGAAGAGGGAGTGTTTCTTATGTTTTCTTGGAGTTTGACCACACTATGGAGTATAATACTGTGTGGGTTGAGCATTTGGGGAGTATTTACAAATGAGTTATGGTGATGAAACAGTTACAGTAGTATCTCTGTGTTGAGGGGATGGGTATTTGGTATTTTGGCTCTACTTTTGTCTGCATCTTAATTATTGCACACTTGTATTACTGCCACTGGCTTCTGAAAACATTTAAGACTATTTGAGCAGGTGCTGTATTCCGGGCTGTGTATGGAGCCCTTTACTTCTGTTATCTCCTTTTATCATCACAATGGTCCAGTGAGCTAGGGGAGTTTGTATTCATTTTATAGAGGAAACTAAAGCTTGGAAATAGAATAACTGGTGTCAAATACAACTAATAAGTGTCAGGGCTGAGATTTAAATAACAGGGGTCCTTCCTAATGACTAAATAGTTGCCAAAATAAGTATTATATATTTTTATTTTCTACATTCCAGGCTATAAACTATTAGTGACTTTTATTATGTCAAATCTAAATTATGCTTATGTTTTCAAGATTCTCTTTAACCTGCCTTACTCTACTTACCTGGCACTCTTATTTTTAGTTAAATCAACATCTTTACTCCAGCAAATGCATTTTATGCTTGTACCAATCTGGAATGCATTCTTTCCCAAATTACAAAATTCTACCTATTCTTCAAGAATTGGCTATTTGATGGAGCCTTTCCTGCCCAATTTGATCCTTGCCAATCTATTTCCCAGTCCTTTAAATTCTTCCAGTACTTAAACTGCTCTACTTTAACCACTCAGTTGTGTCATTTGTCTCTTCATTCCTAAATGTGTTCATTTTGTAGATTATAACAGTAGAAATCACTCAAAGTTCATGCTTCCTAGTATGGGCCCCTTCCTTATCAAGCCCAGTTGAAGCCTAGCTCCACACAGCCTCATTATGGTGGCTTCAGGACCAGCCTGTTTGCTGATGTTCTTTCCAGCCCTTAATGACCCTGAAGTCCTTTCCTAACTTAATCTGATACAGAGTTTAATGTGAAA